GAGCCCCCACCACCACCACCCTCCTCCTTCTTCTCCTGCTCACCAGCACCGGGTGAGTACTGTGGTGCAAACACTGACCCCTTTCCGTCTGGCAGTGAAATAACAGTCTCGCCTCTGAACCGTGCTGCCTCCTGCTCTAAACAACGAAGCAATGCCGTCCTGAATCCGGGACTTACACAGCAAAAGAGTTCACATGTTAGACAAATAGAAACTGTGTGTGTTCCTCGCATCAGTTTCAAAAAATGTTTTTATTTGAATGGAAAACAAAATCATAACAGAAGGACAGCAGTTAGACATTCAAATCTAATTCCTGCTCCTTGTAAAAATCAATTAACTAAACCCACTGTTACTGATATTAATTTTAAAATTGCTATGCTTAATGTCAGATCACTGTGCAACAAATCATTTTTAATTAATAATTTTATCCGTTCTTATGATCTTGATTTTATGTTTCTGACTGAAACTTGGCTTGACCAGAGTACAGGTAATGCGGTTTTAATAGAAGCAACGCCACCAAACTTCAAATTTGAATCTGAAATACGAGAAAAAAAAGGGGGGGAGGCATTGCTGCATTATTTAGAGATCGTATTATCTCTCATAGAATTCTCCTTGGAAATTTTCTATCATTTGAGTATATTTCTTTTAAAATAGAACAAAAACAATCTCCTTCTATTCTTATCATTGTCCTGTACAAGCCACCGCAGTCTTGTCACAATTTCTTTGATAATTTCACTGAGTTGCTTTCAGTTGTTTGCACCGATTTTGATAGTTTAGTGATTACAGGTGATTTTAATATTCATGTGGATAATGGCAATGACAAAAATGCAAAAGAGCTGAGTTCTGTACTTGAAACATTTGGTCTCACTCAGCACGTGAGTGGCCCCACCCACAGCAAAGGGCACACTCTAGACCTGCTGGTTACAAAGGGGGTTAATATTTTAAATGTAAATGTGGTTGACGTGGCTCTGTCAGATCACTTCTGTGTATTTTTTGACATGTGTTTTGATAGTAAACAACCATATATATCTGAATCTGCAATTGTCAGACACAGACACATAAATGAAAACACAACCGAACTATTCATGGGAATGATAAACTTTGAGAACACATTGTGTTCTACTGTTGACGAATTGTTTAACTCTGTCACCGCCAATGTTATAAATGTTCTGGACATCATCGCTCCTGTGAAGGTTAAAATGATTACAAATAAGCCAAAGGCCCCCTGGACTAAAATGGACTCAGTCATGGTACAGAAGAGAGAGTGCCGTAGGGCCGAGCGGAAGTGGCGAAAATCCAATCTCCAGGTTGATCATGATATCTTCAAAAATGAGTTGTGCAAGTTTAACAGGGTGCTACGTAGAACAAGAGAAATTTATTTTTCTAAAACCATTGATGGCTGCAATAATAATCTACGACTTATGTTTTCAACAGTTAACGGATTAACAAACCCCCCTGTTCAGCTGCCATTCGAATTTGCTTCAGAATCTAAATGTAATGAGTTTGCACAATTTTTCAATGACAAGGTTCAGAGCATCAAAAACGCCATCACCTCCAAGGCAGAAATAACATTACAACAGCCGGTGAGGCTGTTTGAGCTATCGCACTTTGCACCAACAGATAATGAAACTGTCCAAGATGTTGTCTCTAGCCTTAGTTCCTCCACATGTAGCCTGGATGTACTACCCACTAAATTTTTTAAGTCTGTTTTGAGCAGTCTTTTACCTTTGCTCACACAAATAGTGAACATGTCTTTCTCATCTGGAACATTTCCAATGGCCCTGAAAACGGCAGTCATCAGACCCCTCCTAAAAAAGAGGAGTCTAGATGCCACAGTTCTTAAGAATTATCGCCCCATTTCAAATCTGCCGTTTATGGGAAAAATTCTGGAAAAAGTTGCTTACCAACAACTTACAGAATTCTTAGTAACTAATAGTTCGTTTGATGCGCTCCAGTCCGGCTTTAGAGCCAATCACAGCACTGAGACTGCACTAGTGAAGGTTACAAATGACATCCGACTTAACACCGACACAGGAAAAGTCACAGTTTTAGTAATGTTGGATCTGAGTGCTGCGTTCGACACAGTCGACCACGAGATCCTCATGCAGAGACTAGAGCACTGGGTGGGTGTCACTGGGACTGCCCTAAGTTGGTTTAGGTCTTACCTAGAAGACAGGAAATACTTGGTTCAGATAGGAAACTGTGTCTCAGATCATATGGCTCTGACCTGCGGAGTGCCACAGGGATCAATTCTGGGGCCTCTTCTGTTCAATATTTACATGCTGCCGTTAGGTCAGTTAATACGCTCCAACAATGTATCCTACCACAATTACGCTGATGACACTCAAATTTATGTCTCACTTACTGCAGGAGAACATGGACCAGTGGAATCACTCCTTCACTGTACTCAACAGATTAGTGATTGGATGCAAAATAACTTCCTTCAGCTAAACGCAGACAAAACAGAATTGATTGTCTTTGGTCCTCAGAAACAAAGAGAGAGCGTTATTCGTCACCTCCAGTCTCTCTCCCTGGAACCTGTAGGCAAGGTCAGAAACCTAGGAGTTTAATGGACTCAGACTTAAATTTTAACAGTCATATCAAATCAGTAACATCAGCAGCATTTTACCATCTGAAAAACATTGCCAAAATTAGAAACATAGTGTCTAAATCAGATCTGGAGATTCTCATCCATGCATTTGTCTCCAGTAGGTTAGACTACTGCAATGGCCTGCTCACAGGTCTCTCCAAACAGGCTGTAAAACAACTGCAGTATGTCCAAAATGCTGCAGCTCGAGTCCTGACCAGGACCAGGAAATATGACCACATTAGTCCAGTTCTCAGGTCTCTGCACTGGCTTCCTGTGGCTCAGAGAATAGACTTCAAAGCAGCACTGCTTGTGTACAAGTCTCTCCATGGCCTCGCACCAGGGTACTTAAGCGACTTGTTAGTCCCATATGAACCGGCCCGGACTCTGAGGAGCACAGGAGGTAGCCTCTTACTGGTTCCAAGAGTCAGAACTAAACATGGGGAGGCAGCGTTTGAGATTTATGGAGCTAAAATCTGGAACAATCTTCCTGAAGATGTGAGGCTAGCATCTACTCTGGCAATTTTTAAATCAGGGCTAAAAACTGTTCTTTTTAGCTGTGCATACGGCTGAAGGATTTTATTGATACATACTCTTTTTTTTTTTTTTTTTTAATGCATTGTGGTTATTTATTATTTTAATCCCGTGTGTGCTTTTAATATTTTTTTTTTTTTTTTTTTTTTTTCATTACTTGTGATTTTATTCTGTTTTTAATGTATTTATTGATGTCTCTGATTTGTGTGATATTATGTGGGTTGTGAGGCGCTTTGAGTGGCCTTGTGTTGGAAAGGCGCCATACAAATAAAGTTGATTGATTGATTGATTGAAGAAATGAAGACAGAGGCAGCAGCGCTCGCACTTGTAAACCGGATTATTTTCAAGTCCCTTCAGATTGAACAAAAGTAGACAGATTGTTATAGGATTTGATAATGTTGATAATTTAGTTAATAATGTTTAGCAGTAATACATAATATAAAAGGGGTTCACAATACAAACTATGCTGGTCAGATTACACATAAGCCTGGGTAGTTCTTCACTTGTGACTTTTTTCATGTGTAATCATTGAAAAGGTCCCAGAGTTCTCCTTGTGCTGAAGTAGACCCCGATTAAACAGTTTACATATTCAACTCCTGCCTTCTTTCCCACCGTTCTTGTCCAACATCAATATCCTCGATACATCCTCACGTGTTGTATGTTGTCTGTGCGGCCAGGAGCTCAGACTGTAAAAACGGCCGCTATTTGTTTGAACAGAAAGAAAGAAAATGTTAATAATATGCTGAATTGAGGGAAAGGCCAAGGTTCCCATAGCAGTGGGATTAAGACGGAAACCCAATCTCGACCCCAGCTGGACATTCAAAGCCGAGTCAGCTGCGTGTGTTGTGAAAGCGTTGAATATTGCTGTTGACATTCCGCTCCACCTTCACTTCATCTCACAATTGGTTTTATATCAAAAGTGCAAGAAACACTTCTCATGTTTATTTTTCTTTGTCTCCAAATCTTTCAAAGTTAATGAGAAAGTTGAAAGCCTAGATGTTAAGTGCTGCTTTTGAAGCGGCGGTCTTGGTGTGTTTAGCAAATTCTGCCAGTGATTTGAAGGCTCTCCTGGGGATACTGCGATCACATTTCAAAGTCTCGCAGTCTTTGGTAAATAAGAGGAAATAACGCAGCCTGTTTTGGCTGATGTCCGGGCACACACCCTGTCGTGTTTTTGTCAACGAGATGAATCAGATTGGTTTGCCATTTTTATGTCTTAAAAAGCACTGTTTTTAGCAGCTCGCCTCCTCAGGGAACTCTCTAAAGAGAGTGTTTGAAGTGTGCTTTGAAGGTAATGGGACTGTCAAAGGAGATCTGATCACTGCGCATGCTATACTATTGATGATTTTATTATTTATTTTATCATTGCTTGTTTGAGTATTAAAAGATTCTCTATGAAATGCATAAAAAGTTTAGTTTATAGATAAACTATGGAAAGCTCAGTGATTTTAAGTTAATGAACCAACAGTTAAAGCAAATGTTTTTTGTTTTTTTTTACCTTTGACTGTATTAAAACCTTTTGCGGCATATAATTGGACCTGAAATGCCTTAAAAGCATCCAAAAAATGTTTAACCAAGGCTACAGTGTATGTGTGAGATATCGTGTTTTCTGTTAAGTTGAAGAAAGCATGTTGTGGTCTACAGTAATTTGTTCACAAAAAAACTTTTACATGACTGTTATTGTTGGGACCAACATGTTTGTTTTGTTTTGTTCCCTTTCTTATAAATAATCAACATCAGGATATCAGTCTGTTGATGACAATCCTGTTCCTGGTATAACATTCCTTAAAACGTGCAGTTCTTTCCCCTCAGATGAGCGGTAAGACTTTGGAGTTTGGTAATCTACCAAACTAAAGCCTGTTTATCTTTGTGTACCACGCAGTGCTGCTTGTGGCTGCCTTTTTGCACAAATGCCCGTTCCCGCCGTACGAACGAGGATTCTTCTGTGGTGACAGCAGCATCGGCCTGCCCTATAAGAGCAGCACTGTGTCCACCAAAGTGCTGGCGGCCGTGGGGGTCTCTGTGCCGGTGGTCTCAGTAAGTCGTGCCCGGGACCCCGCAGGACGACCGGGGACTTGACCAATGCGCACCATACGTTACACGCTCACTGGAGACTCTTCAAAAGACTTGGCGGTTCACACAGCCTCTCCGATTTGGTTCGATGAGCACCGTTAACTGCAAATCATGACCTCTGCCAATAACTCTGAATGATGTAATCTGGAATCAGGAAAACATGTGACGCTATTGAACTAGATTCCCCCATTCTTTAAAGCTCATCGAAGGCATTAGGAGAAAATATTGTTAAAAAGTTCATTGATTGACTGTAGTTCAATCTGTAATTCAATTTAAAATGTAAAACCAGTACACGATGAAGACTCATTACAAACCAAGTGGTGTATTCCAAGGCTTCAAGTCTATTATAATGTTGATGAGTATGGCTTAGAGTCCATTTTGAAAGAGATGTTTTATTTGGGGTTTTACAAGCAGTGAGCCAATTATCAACATTATAACAAATAAAGGTTCGACATATCTCACTTTGCATGTAATTAGTCTGACAGGTTATGTTTAATTAACATGTGTATAGGAGAAAATTCAATCAGATTCAGTTTATTTGCCATTTGCGGTAAAAAAAAAACACATCGGAATACATTAGCAAAAAGTCTCCAGTGTGCACAGACAAATACAGACATAAAACAACATTAAAAGTACGGAAATAAAACAAATAAAACAGTAAACAAGTGTCACTGTGAAATCGATCGACTAAAACAGTTTCAAAACAAGTGCAAATCATTAAAGTGCTCTGTTCACACTGATAACAGCTTGTGGAAAAAAATCTGTTAGCGTAACAAGATGTCCTGCATCTCAGAGAACAATATCTTCTTCTTCAAAATTGACTTTTGAACTACATTTCCAAGTGTCACCTGTATGCAGTTAATGATGTAAAATAATTGCTTGATGAATTAGCTGAATAAACTTGAACCTCACGTCCTAATGATTGGTCTCAGATAAGAAGCCGTAAACGTATGGTCGCCTTCGTTCGCTCCCTGGTCGTCCTGCGTGTCCTGGTGTCCTCAGTCAAATGCGTGTTATTAACCCAGCACCTCCATCTCTCTCCCCTCACCCCCCTCTTGCCCTGTGTTCTTCCATCACCTCTCCCTCCCCCGTCACCTCACCCGTCTCTCCTCTCTGCTGCTTCATCGCCCTGTAGCCGGCCTGCCTTTCTTGGTCATTGAAACCAGCGCGGTGCAGCCTTACCGCCGGGGCTTTTACTGCAATGACGAGTCCATCAAATACCCGGCCAAAAAGGGAGACACCATTAGTGACGGTGTGCTCAGTGCGGCCGGTATTCTTATCACCATCATGTCTGTAAGTCACGCTTCTGCCATTGTCACAGCTCTCACCTTCACCTCTGTCTCCTCAACACATTTCGCATCACTCACCTTAAAATGACAAACAATATGAACTGTTTTGATGTACTCTATGTCAGAATCTCTTGTTTTTGACTATTTATTCATTCCGTAAATGATTGCCATAACATTTATTTAACCAGGAATGTCCAAACGAGATTACAGAATCTCTCGCTCAGGGGAGTCCTTGCCCCAGACAGGAGTGGGATTGCGTGGGTGTGAGTCTATTGTACAGTTTTTTTGTGGGAAGGGAAACCAGAGCTCCTGAAGGAAACTTACAGAGATGGAGAGAACATGCAAACTCCGCACAGAAGCCCTGGTTCCATTCTGGAAGTGGAATCGAACCCAGGCACAAACACTAACCGCTGCGTACATTGAAACTGCTTAATGCCACTGGTGCTGGTGCAGCAAAACAAGATAATCCCAGTCAAGTATTTTATTTTCGTCTGTCCATTTTGTTAAACAAGAAAGCGGTGTGAAAATAAAAGGCAAAAGTTTAAGTCATAGTGAAAAATGTCAAAAATGGCTAAAGTCTCCACTTTCTCAAAGAAAATGAGCGCTCCATATTGAGGCCCAAACAACCTTATTATATCCATAAGTTATTGAACTATAAAGCAATTATCTTGACAGACCTAATTAGTCATAAAAGCAAGTAAAATGTTCTATAAGTGGCATAAAAGAATTATGTGTCAAATGCAACGATACAAATTCCCCTTTCCATGTCATTACACTCAATCCTTTTTGAGATGTGCTGCTTATGAATAGCTTTTTATTGAATATAACCACATTTTCTGACCACATTTTCTCTCCATCGACTGAGTGGCCGTGACTCACATTAGACATAAGTATTGTTCTCCATTAAGTGACTCCCTCTTGAACTCTATGGTCATATTGGCTGCCACTGTGAGAGCGCTGCCTGACCCTATATGTAATTATGGTTGATGCAGTTGCTCTTTGGTCAAATGGGAGCAGTGGTAGAAGCTTGTCACTTTCACTGTCAAAACTACAGACTACATACAGCCTTGTAATCCTGAAGAACTTACAATCTATGCACAGGGATTTTTAGAATCCTGTCAGTTACATTTTTTACCAGGCATTTCATCTTCAAATCCCTAAAATGTATATGCTATGTCTGTTGTCAACTATATACTCCTAAAAACTCCAATCTCTTATAAAAACCACCAAATTAGACTTTATAATCACTTCAATATTTATCCATGCATATAAGTATTACAAAAACTCTGATAAACAAAGTGGACATCACATCAACAAAGTATACTAAATGAATCATTTCCTCAAACACTGACTAAACGTATAGGCTGTCAGCTTTGTACTTCTTGCATGTCTTCCTCATGCAGTGCAGCCTCTTTGCTACTACACCCGCTATCAATAAATGTGTGTTGTTAAAATGTTCGACAAAAAGAGAACCAGATGTGTCTCGTTCTGCCACGAAATCAGTGCGGAGCTGGGTCTCAAGGCCAGAACGGTGGAGAGCTATCCGCGCTTAAGCCTCCTTTGGGGTCGTTCCGCGCTCCGCAAAAGCGTTTCCGAGAATCGTTTATGCGCCCCTCGCAAGAATGTCCGATGAAACCGAGATAGGGTTGAAAACAGCCAGAAATCCCTTGTGAAATGTGAGTGGTTCAAGAGACACGAAAAGACCCAGTGTGCCCCTGACGTGCGCCTGCTGCAGTCTGGCCCCCAAGAATGAAACCAGCTCAGCTTTTTTACTGATTAGAACCAGAAATGTCTTCTCTTCCCTTCAGTCTTTCACCCCAGTCATTTTTATAGCGTGTTGCCAAGTTGCTTTATGGACACAGGCTGGATTATAAATAATAGATGGTTCAATAGTCTAAATATTTCAAACCATCAAGGCAATTTATGCGGGCCATAATTCTTGATAAGGACTTCATCTATTGTAAAACCTAATGCAAATAGTGGTGATTATAACCTGCCACAGATTTGTCAACATTGCCATTTGGATTCAATGATTATGCAGCAGCACGTCTTAACCTAGCCTGGGCGGGGTTAAAAAAAGACAAATAATGTTATAAATGCATGGACATATTGGAGGATGTGTCATTTATATAGGACGCTCAAGGTTTTCTCAACAGTTTCCCAAGCCACACAACATAACATCCAATCCATTTATATAGATCGTTTAATAATCAAAAATTCCCAATTGCTGCACAGAGATCAAAGAAACTAATTTCAATAAACATGCAGACTTAAATTCCAGCAATCCACATCCAAACTTTCGATTTACCATTTTAAACAGAATTCACTCTCTCTGACATCGAGAACCATCATTTTCTGTCTTGGAACAACTAGAAGTGGGCTGCACATTCCTCGAGTGTTTTGTTCGCACTGCTTTTCATTTTGCACACTGCCATTGGTGAGTGCGGACAACAAGAGCACTGGGGGGTGTTGGGGTTGGGGCATTTTGGAGCCTGAACAGCTGTTATGAGTTATAGCCCCACACCTCCCCCCCCCTGAAGAGTGCAGACCATGTCAATCGCTGGGTTTAGTCTGAGGTTTATTTACACACTGGCATAAAACTATACAGACTGGACAGTTTGGGTTCCCTCCCACGTCGCTTCACTGTTTTCTCTCGTGCAAAGACATGGAAAATACAGACTCAGGGGAACCACTTCACAAGAAACAACTATGATTATTCTAACACTGTGTTTTCGAGACTTGAATGTTTAGATGTCAAAAGGCCTCCATGTTTATTCCAGTGTTATTTACATGGAAAACAAATTATCCATGGAGACAATTCAATGTTGAGCACAGCAACAAAACGGCAAAGCATTATTCCCTGGCTTTAGCTCTTTCGCAATTTCGAAGGATGACATAGAAATTCTTATAAGTTCTATTGTTTATCAGTGGTTCTTAACTGGAACAGTGTTGGGACATGGGGACCCATCAAAAATAACGACACACAGCCATTTAGTAGCCAATTAAGGATCACACATTATCCTTTTATGAGAATAAACACTATAAAGCTAACATTATGGACAATTCATTCAAACACTCACAGGAATTTTGACTTTTGAGTATCTAATTTCAATAAATCTACAAATGGGGCAAGTTTAAGTCATATTTTGTTCAGGAAAATTTAGTGTAGATACATAAAAAGATGAAATCACTTCCCACTTTTGTTTCCCAATCCAGCAACAGAGAAGCACTGGTTTGAAGTGTAGCCCAGTGCAATTATTGTCTCTGACCTGCATTTTGTCTCCCACAGATTGTCATTGGGGAGAGCTACAGGATCTATTTCCTCCATGAAGGTTCCAAGTCTTTTGTGTCAAACCCGTACATCTCGGCGCTGTACAAACAGGTGGGCGTGTTCATCTTCGGCTGCGCCATCAGCCAGTCCTTCACCGACATCGCCAAAGTGTCCGTGGGCCGAATGAGGCCGCACTTTCTGGACGTGTGCAAGCCAGACTTTAGCACCATCAACTGCTCCCTGGGATACATCACAGACTACCAATGCCAAGGCCCAGAGAGCAAAGTACAAGAGGCCAGGTACTTTTCATCATTTATGTTTTATCTTCCTCTGTCTGAACGATGGTCCTGAGCATTTGTTTTCTCTCTTTAGGAAGTCTTTCTTCTCTGGACATGCATCTTTCTCCATGTTCACCATGCTTTATCTGGTGGTATGTTTCTACTTTATCAAATATTACACTTTTATAGTAACCCTATAAGCGCCACTGTAGTATTGCTCAGACCCTATGACTCCAGTCGTGCCACTTACTTTTACTTTTTAGTAATAGGGCCACCGTAGTTGACCTGACTTGTCCAGGGGCCGACAACACAGACAGCTTTGACTGGATCAGGCTGTTCTGAGTTTTAAAAAGAGGAATGATAGGTCCAAAATAGATTCACATTTGAGAAACGTGTACTAGTGTTTACTATCTCACAGCTACAGTACATTTGCGCCATATGAGATTTTGGAAGTCAAAAACGAATGTCAGTATATACAAATAAAACATTAACAGCTGATTTCCAAAGGGTCTGAGCTTCACAACGAGGTCGAGCATGACTATAATGGTGGAGCTGAAGTTGGATGACTCTGTGAACTTGTGTTGATTATCACAATGGTCAATTTGGGTTAGCAAGGCAGAGGGCTACATGACATAACACAGAGGGTTGCAACTGGCCCCCGGGCCTTAGTTTGGACATACCTGCAGTACTTGCTTTCAGTAGTCCTCTATCTCCTTTATCTGTTTCCCAAATGTTTTAAAACTCTGGCTCCTAAAGTGTTGGATTAAGTCTTGGATACACATTTCCAAGTGACAAGGTTTAAATAATAACAATACAAAAGTTCTATCAAAAGGACAATGAATACCAACCAATCGGAGCACTTTTAAAAGATATGAACTATAAACAAGACAGTAACAAACATATCTCCATTATTGCAAAAACTATAAACTTTGAGCCCCAAAATATATTGTTTTATCAAATATCCAGATATCCACAAGTATCACCCTGATATCCTCCAGAATACACGGATCACTTCAGGCTAAACAACAATGTACTAATGTTCCTTTTTGATTGCAGTTTTACCTGCAGTCCCGCTTCACTTGGCACGGGGCTCGTCTGCTGCGTCCTCTCACACAGTTCACCCTCATCATGATGTCCTTCTACACGGGAATGTCCCGAGTGTCTGACCACAAGCACCACCCCACGGACGTCCTGGCCGGCTTCATACAGGGAGCTCTGGTGGCATACTGCGTTGTAAGTCTCATGGAAAACATTTGATTTAAGGCTGGGCAATCTGGGGACAAAAGTTATTATTATTATTATTTTTGCATGAGAGTTTGCATGTTCTCCCTGTGTCTGTATAGTTTGCCTCCTGGTGTTCTTATTTACACCACCACTAAGACCATGTTTAAGTTTAAGTTTAATTTATTAAGGACAATGTGCAGTTGCGTTAAAAAGATGGCTGCACCAGATTTAGCACTAGGCTACTTTCTATATGTAGTCCTTGACAATACAATCTTATAACTTGAAAAATAGAAAACAGTATAAATAAAAAGTGCAGGTTACTAAGGCCCTGTCCACACGAAGTCAAGCTCAGGCCTAAACGCAAAAATACTTTATCAATCCAGTGTATCGTCCATACGAGGCCGGCGTTTTGGGGGGGTGTAAACGAACATTTTTGAAACTAGGTCCCAGAGTGGAAAGATTTCAAAACTCCGTATATGCCGCTCCGTGGTTACTGCCTCTCCGCAATGTATCTGAGACGCTTGCGTCATCGCCCCGCCTCTTGTTAAAGCACGCATGCGCCGCACTCAGAAAATAATGACAACAACAATGTAGCTTGTTGGTTTTGTAATCCAGTGTGACCCGAAGCAACAGTTCAACCTCATCGTCCGTCCATACTAATGTAGTACCAGCTCGCCCACTCGCCATGTTGTCTGTTTACAAAATTCCGCGCATGCCCAGTTCCCGTCACGGAAGTTTGGGCTTGATCCCGTCATTGCGTCACAGCGCCACCAACAGGTCTGGCATAGTTTCACAGCGTTTTCAGGCGTATTGACTACATTCATATGGACGCACACATTTACTGAGCTAACTCCGTGTTTACAGAAAAAGTTTCTGAAATTATAAGCGTTTTGTCTTCGTGTGGATATAGCCTAACTTATATATTCAAATACAGTTCAATAAAAGTGCAAGTTACTAAAATACATATTAAAATGTACAATAGCTCCCCTCTCTGGGAGCAGGAGGACTCCCCTGAAAGAGATTTTCAAATCTCCCTGGGACTTTCCTGGTTGAAAAAATATATATATTTGTTCATAATTATTATTCAGCCCCTAACAATCAACAAAACTGCAATTTTTCCAATCCTACAGTTTTTGATACAGCTCCAATTTGTATTTATTCACAATCGTGTTTTTCCCGCAGGTGTTCTACGTTTCAGACCTGTTCAAACCAAAAGGCCGACGCTCTACAGTGTCGCCTTTGCCAGTGAAGAAAGATATTATAGTTCCTCCTCCCGACAGAAGTAACCCTCTCATCATGGCGTGAGAGGATCCTGCTCAACCTTTTTATTGTTTTTTTTTTAAATCACTGCTAACCTTTGTGGACAAACATTTAAGCGCCCAGGGACTTCGGAAAATGCCATTTTTGAATACAATAATTACACAAGTCCATGGCGTCGATCTCGTCAAATGGTTCTGTTTTGGAGAATCCCTGACGAGGCCTGACTGGAAACGAAACAGCTGTGAACGAAGCTATGCGTGTAACCCTACATGCATACGATTTTCTCCCATGTGTTATTTGACTGTGCCACATAAGTCATGAACAACAAATTCCTTTATTTCGGGAAGGATTTTAAACTTTTAAGAAATGTATTTTAGCACACCTCAGTACTGCATCACCACTTGAATGACCTCAAGTGAAGCTTTTGATAAGCTTTATATTAGTTTGTGAGTATTTTTTGGATGTTTTTTCTATGTTTCTAGTGCACATTGATAACAGTATTGTTGATTAGGTTACGGACTAGAAGAGTGTGTATTTTAGTGGGCCTCTTTCTGCTGGTTGGGACGAGCCCCCACTGAGCCATTTATTGAAAATCTGTCTGTTTCAAGCTGCAGGCATTGCCCCTTGTGTTTGAACATAATCTGGATGTACAGTATTCGTGAGTTTACTGCATGAATGTCACGTCTGTGTGTTTCAATGTAACCAGCCAGTGAACACATACTGTTAAATTAATGAATATTAATAGTCCACTAACAGTTATGTTCACACGGCCCGGGATCACCACAGTACACTGTTTTAAATAATCCTCGCCTTGTTCCCATTTCATTCTTGGTTTAGTGAATACTAACCTACTTTTTAAAAACTAAGCAGGCAATACCAATACAAGTTTGAAACATAATTTCCAGGCCATAATTCTACTGTCATCAAAAAGACGGAACTGATATCTATCAGACTATGCATGATTTTGACAAAATATATCAATATTTAACATGAATGCATCCTTCCCCATGTTCTAAGAGTCTCCAACATATTGGTTTTGTTTGTCTTTCAGTGTGCTGTTTTTGAGGACTGCTTTTAACTTTTAAGAGACACATTTTTTTGTGAACCACATGTAGCTGCTCTCACTGATTTTGAAAAAGTTACCACCATTACAACTACACCATGTTTTTGTTTACCTTTATTTCACCAGGAAAGTCCCAGATTAAGAACCTCTTTTTCCTGCAGTTCCTGCAGATAGTGGACAAAAGTTGCTCCTGCTGCTCTTGCAGAGAGGCTTCCAGAGGCTGTGGTTTAGGTAGAGACCAAACATATACTGCCTTTCACCATTTCTGATTACTATTCATTGTTAAATGCATCATGAGCTTTGGGTATTAACCAAAAGGACAAGATTGAGCTTGATCACAAGAGAAGAGCTCTGAGTAGAGCCACCGCTCCTCCACATCAAAAGGTGACAGTTGAGGGCGCTCAGGCATCTGCCTTGGATGCCTCCTGGATGCCTGTCTTAGGGAAGACCCAGAACATGGACTCAGATGGCCTGGGAAAGCCATAGGATTTCCCTTAATCATCTGGAGGAACTGCTTAGACAGAAAAAATAAAACTTTCTTTTATCAGAAAAGGCTATATTTGATTAGACATAATAACTTGTATCTGTGGACAGATGTTAAGCTAAATCGTACAGTTCCTTTTTAATAAAATGTACATATCTTCGCACTAATACAGGTTTGAAAACGGGTTGGATGAAGCCGACGCTTATTTTTCTCCCAACCACCCATTCAACACAATACAGAGAACAATGCATTTAATAAACAAACAGAATTAAAAATGTTGATACAATTATGAGTAGTTCTATTCCATGAAGGGCTGACCTTGTCGTCGATCTTGTCTCCATGGAGATAATAGAAAGGTGTTGTACAGTGGACCATTAAAGAGAAGTTTGACCCACAGAAAAGTGTATTGTAACCAGTTGCAGTAAACTATGAATGCTACAAACTATTTTCTTGTGCTGTTTTTATATTTGTGTAGATACCTGTTGCCAGACCTGTGTATTTGTCATGTTGCTGCTTTGTCAATTGTGAATAGGCCTCATTACTTTTCAATAAAATACCACACAGTTTTGGTACATTGTTTTAAAGTTGTGTTTTTATATATAAATGTCAAATTTACAAAATGTGTGTGATGCTTGAAATCTCCAATAAATGTGTAAATTTGAATCAAAAAACAGAGTAAATGTGTATTTAGCAATGATTTCCTGGTTGTGATGGAGAGATTTGGGCGTGGGGCGATGGGGTACTTCCATGAGTGGCTTCCTGGGGGGAAATGGTGAACATTCCAGGCTTCAACCCTTCTCCCTGACGACCCTCTGAAATAATACAGACTCTGCATACTGCTACAGCCCATTCACATGGAAAAATACTTCCAGAGCTTTCTCATGCGCATTTCTCTGCTTTATTAGAGTCAAGACGATGAAATGGTTCTGTACAGGAATCTTTTCATTTGGCCGCACTGAAATAACACGACTATGTCTAAAAAGTATGGACGCACATGTGCAGAGACTTGAGGCACGTATTTGACTGAAGGAGGTTGTAATTTTCTGTCCTTGAAGAGAGCAAATCAAGTTCAACTGTTTTCCTTCACAATTTCAACCTATACATTATCTTTCAGACATGTGGAAAGAACAGCACGAGGTGAGTATCGTATGACAAGATAATATCTATTTTAATTTCCTGTTTCCAAAGATGAAATGACTTTGTGCTTCAAGTGAAAAAGACAGCCGTTTAGAGTGGTCTCTGACATCAGTGGGAATAGTCTCAAAGGTGCAACATAGACTTTAGTTTGGTTTTCCTATGACATGAGTATTAAACTATGTTTATTTTTACTCCTAAAATAGTACAGTAGTCCTTTGCTTTGGCTCAAAAAGCTAAACACAAGTATGACTGCATTCATTTATATTTTCTTCCTGCCTTTTGGGCCTGAGAAGGGCTTTAACCTTGGGCAAGTTATCGAAGCCTATATTTCTTTACTTTTTTAATACAAAAAATACAACATTGGTATACCAAATACAAAATGTCCAAAAACCAAAACAGTTGTTTTACAGTGGTTGTTTGAAGTAATTACTGTATTTTTCATTTTCATATTTCACACAGCTGCAATCTTTATAGCAGGGGTTTTCAAACCTCTTTTGATCGAAGAGCTACTTTTATAAAACAGAATTTGGCAGAGAGCTACTCCTTTAACAGTCAGAATAAAAGTGTAGCCCATATGATATCTACAGCCAATCATGGAGAACACTCACAATATCCCATTCTACCACGCAGTATCCCTGCATTCATGCAAACACGTTTAGCTATACTCCTGCGCTATAGTATTTAAGGCATCCTATGACAATTGTCTAATTGTATTGTTTTGGGATCCTGCCTATAAGTTAATGTAGATTTCTGGGAGTTCCCTTTTACAAAGAACTTACGGTTTTAGGAGTTAGTATTTGTATGACTTGATGAAGTGTTGTAAATAAAGATAATTTGATTTAATTTGATTTATATTACATTTGCTACTCAGTTTCATGCAATGAATATTCATAGTTTTGCTGAGCCTGATGTCAGTGGTTGCTTGGTCACGTTTCAAGGTGGACCCGCTTTCCAAAGAGGCTTTCTTAATCAGCGGGGCTTAACATTATAACAATGAAATCCCTTTCATGTGGTTTGTGCAACATAAAACGGTTGCAAGCTCACTACATTATAACACACACACACACACACATGTCAGTAACTGGACTCGTGGTGATGATAAAACATATCAAATATTACAGTTGTAACAAACTACTGAAAACAAGCATCTATCAAATACAAGCCAACTTACCTCTTGCATTATAATAATGCAATTACAATAATGCATTGGTTTTATATAACGCATTTTTGGACACTCAAAGACATGTCAATATTCCTTCACTCCATACACGGTGGTGATAATCTACAATTGTAGCTACAGCTGCCCTGGGGCACATTGACAGAAGTAAGGCAACCAGTATGTGCTATTGGCCCCTCGGACCACCACCAACAATTCACACACACCAGACTCCCTCTAGGCCATGTGGGTGAAGTGTCATGCCTCAGCCGCCCCACTGTGATACCTGGTGTTCCCAGAGGTCTCCCATCACAGTACTAGCAAGACTCTGCCCTGCTTAGCTTCAGAGGTCTGGACTAGCTTCCACATGCAGGTATGGCCTCGCCCTTGAGTTACGGTTGTAGGTCTGATTTTGCTCATATATTATGTCTGGAGATGTGTTTGCGTTCTACGGACGTGAAACTCTAGCCTCCAATCGTTGATAAGTCTGACCTCATTACAGACTGTTTATCTTCGACTCCATCATGACGACAGCTACACTACTCCACTTTTCTTCTTGGCTCATGGCACACAACGCATTTCTGGTGGACATTTTTACTGAAACTGTTAAATAGAGTGGCAAAAACAAAACCAATATGAATATGACAAGCTTGTGAAATCAAATAAGAGAAGATATTCCTTTATTCGTCCCACATTGGGGAAATTTCAGTGTCATCGTTGCGCACACTACAGCAGAGAAAGAAGGAAATAACAGCACTCAGATTGCACACATCAAACAGAGTCTATCATTTAACAGTAGAATTAAAATTAAAATTAAGAATAAAATAGACTCTGGAGCTATAATTGCACTTGGTTCAGAAGTAGTATAAGGATCATAATGTATCACATGGACTAATGAATGCACATAATGGTCCATAAAAGTCCATTCCTTACTGGTTCATGGCAGATGCAGGTGTGTACCCCTCATGTTGATTGTTACTAGAATTAAAATCACAGTATTGCAATAATTCGTCGTCCCAGTTTTAAGTTTGACCATTTGCATACCTCAAATTTCACCAATATTTCCATGACACACCTTGTTCTGGGATGCTTCCTAAATTATAAAGCCAATTCAAAATTTTTTTGTGAGTTCAAAATACAATACAAAAAAAAAAATCATTTTCATATCTGGGTATACTATGGCTGTGTTAATTTCAATCAATAAA